TTAAAAAAAAATGTAGAGGGAATGAAGGTGAGACTATGTAACAGTTATTTTATTTTGCAATAAAAAGAAATTATAGCATAGCTTTTACAATATAGGGCATTAAAATGGAACAAAGCATCATCCTATACCAGCCTATACATTATTATCTTTTGAAATTTCATTAAAGAACTACTACAACTACTTGCAAGTTTTACAAACGTTAATTATTCCAAATAATGTAACCTTGGAAACTGTTAGCATTTCTCTTTCTTTCAGTTCTAGTTGCACACAATTTTTTTAATAATTAAAATGACAAAATAACGAAATGGTTGTATTAATGGGACTAAATGTTGCAAAATTATACCAAATTTATGTTTATAGGATAAGCGGTTCTCTAGATATGACAATTTTAGTGTAAAAATTGCGAGGACAACTAAGCCTATGGAAAATGAAAACAAAAATTGGTATAGAAAAAAAGGCGAAAGGGAAATAGCTCTGTATAGGCGCAGAATTATAAAATTTTCAAATAAGTATTTATTAATGCATTTACAACTGCATAGAGTATCTCTAGCAAGATATTAATAAATTTTTTAATTTAAGTGGTCTATTAAGAATTATTTAAATAAAAATATACCACTGGATAGATTCAATCATTTAACTCAAACGTCACAGTAATAGTATAAATAAAAGAAATTTGCTGAATAAAAAAAATAAACATTCCTAATTCCTAGGTAAACGGTATCATAGAGACAGCTCAGTACAGTGCAACATATATGAGTGTTTTTGACTTATTGGAAGCATGTCAGTTAAGAGATAATCTTTGGGTGTCGTTAGATAACTGAACATAGCTAGCGCGAAACAAACAGCAACGTTATCAAGAATCGAGCATTTCACAGAGCTACGTAGACAGACGCTAGACACGACGAGGGTTTCTGTCCGGCTTTTGCCTCCTGTTTTAAATACGACATCTTGCCAATTGGTTTTGAACGTGAGGGACAGCTTGGTCGTGGGATGACCTACGGTTATCAGGTCGGGTACCGATCTATCAGTTTAGTTAGTGGGCGTACTACATACTAGACCACAGTGTCCAGTTGTGATAACATTTAACAAAATCTTGGGGATACCGGGTCTGGAAAAACGTCTTACAACAATGAGGATAAGCTATGGATGGGGGAGAGGGATGTGTGTAAAAACTAGTGACTTTATTTGTGGACGATGAAGGGCAGATTCAATTCCGTATCACGTTTAGAAAAGCAAAAAGTACCCCAGGACTACATAGTTAACTTATGAACCATACTTTACATACTTTCAACTTCATTTTTAGATGTAGTATTAAAAAAAATCAATTACACTAACTTAAAAAAAGCACCCGACTCAAAGGTCTTTAACTCAGAAAGTCTCCCCCCTCCTTATATAATCGTTATTTGAGTGTGAGTGGGTATCAAGCAAATAAATATAGGCATTTGTTTACAAGGGTATATTTTATTCTTTAGCAAGATAAACTAATGGGATATAAAATAAATGAAGACTATCAGTGTACGCATTCAGCTTGTTACAATAGAATGAACACACTCGTAAAATGTTGTGTTTTTTATAATACGAGCCGACCCGCTGCGTATCATACGCCGCTATTTAGTTGTTTTTTTTCTACTTTTCAGTAATTTATAATTTGTGAATTCGACAGTACCAATGCTGCCATTGAAAATATTTGCTTAAAAACACTACCCCCCCCCCCCACGTGAAAGCAGCCTCCTCTTAGTTACCTTCTCTAAGTTTAAAATTATCTGCCCCTAATAGCCGTCACCAAACCCGCCTCTGTGATTGTAAAATGTAAACAGAGTGAACACAACTCACCAGACAATGTGGGGGCGGGGTGGGGGTGGTTGTGATATTGATATAGAGGAAGAGAGGGGACTGTAAGGCGAGGTTGCAGCTTGTTTTCTAACGGCTCGAAGAAGAGAATTATATATATAGATTTCTTATATTAATAAGATTTTGGATCCCGCACAGTCTACTTGGTGAATTTAATCAACCACTGTTCAATTAATAATTTCCACCTTTGGCTTATTTTACATTTTAAATAGACATAATGGCCTTATAATATAATACAAATATTACAGAATACGAAAGCGGAGAAAGGTAGTATCGATATCGCTAATACTTAGGCCTACGGGGTTTATTTTGTTAGTTTTACAGCTTGTTAACATCTGAAGAAGAAAGTAAAAACATTTGTGAAAATAACATTAAAAATGTACCGACTCACACAAAATTCAAATTAGGTCTGAATGTTTTCTTATTTTAATTGATCTACATACCAATGGATATAGTGACAAAACATTAGCGATACCGCTTTTCTCGATTTTTAGATTAAGCCTCTACTAGATCTATAATGCATTACGAAAAAAGATGATTTTTGTTGTTAAAAAATTAAACTAAAAATCATATAGTCTTACTCAAATCTCACCTAGTGCCATTATTTTTAGTTTTAATCATTCTATGTATAACTTATTTTCAACTTTGTGTTGAGTTATCATATTCAATCATTAGTAGCACGTAGTATATGCTGCAACATATTGGCTCAACTCATACAATTTTTACTACTTTAAAAAGGTTAATTTATTATCTTTGAATCTACTCATTTACTAGTTTAATTATTAACATTCTTTAAGAAAAATGTATAAAAATTGGTAACATAATTCCTATAAAACAAAGGAACATCAAAATGCTGTATCGATACCGCTAATAGGGTACCTAGTTTGTGAGACATTTTGCATTGTCTGCTAAACGGATAAACCTAAAATAAATATACTAGTTAGAAAGCTTAATAAAAAATGAAGATAATCCTACTAAAAACAGAGTTAGTATCAAAGTAAATTTTTGAAAACTCATCTTTTAAACTCAATATGAGATTAACAAAAACAAGTAAAAAGTTGAAATAAAAATTATACGGTGGTAACGGCCAATTACCACTGCTAATAAGGAGGGCTTATATGATTGGAATCATAATCTCGTTCTATCGGTTTTTAAACAGCTAACATAGCGATGCGAACGACTACATTTGAATTTGATTTTTTTGTGCACGAAAGGTTAAGAGCCTGTGACGTCATATTTTATTTACTTGGCAACTAGCTAATATATAGATTTCACAAAGGGAAGTAACTAAGCAACTTAGCATTCTACAAAAGTAAATCACACCTGTAGGCATTATATAGGATAAACTAGGCATTATATAGGATAAACTAGGCATTATATAGGATAAACTAGGCATTATATAGGATAAACTAGGAATTATATAGGATAAATACTAATGGATTGGGGGTAAGAGAAGGTGATGTTATGAGGTGGGGGGGGGGGGGGGTTCAGAGAAGGTGATGTTATGAGGTGGGGGGGGGTTCAGAGAAGGTGATGTTATGAGGTGGGGGGGGGGGGGTTCAGAGAAGGTGATGTTATGAGGTGGGGGGGGGGGGGGTTCAGAGAAGGTGATGTTATGAGGTGGGTGGGGGGGGGGTTCAGAGAAGGTGATGTTATGAGGTGGGGGGGGGGTTCAGAGAAGGTGATGTTATGAGGTGGGGGGGGGGGGGGGGGGTTCAGAGAAGGTGATGTTATGAGGTGGGGGGGGGGGGTTCAGAGAAGGTGATGTTATGAGGTGGGGGGGGGGGGGGTCAAAGAAGGTGATGTTATGAGGTGGGGGGGGGGTTTCAGAGAAGGTGATGTTATGAGGTGGGGGGGGGGGGGTTTCAGAGAAGGTGATGTTATGGAGGTGGGGGGGGGGGGGGGGTTCAGAGAAGGTGATGTTTATGAGGTGGGGGGGGGGGGTTCAGAGAAGGTGATGTTATGAGGTGGGGGAGTCAGAGAAGGTGATGTTATGAGGTGGGGGGGGGGGGGGTTCAGAGAAGGTGATGTTATGAGGTGGGGGGGGGAGGCTTCAGAGAAGGTAATGTTATGAGGTGGGGGGGGGGGGGTTCAGAGAAGTGATGTTATGAGGTGGGGGGGTTCAGAGAAGGTGATGTTATGAGGTGGGGGGGGGTTCAGAGAAGGTGATGTTATGAGGTGGGGGGGGGTTCAGAGAAGGTGATGTTATGAGGTGGGGGGGGGGTTCAGAGAAGGTGATGTTATGAGGTGGGGGGGGGGGTTCAGAGAAGGTGATGTTATGAGGTGGGGGGGGGGTTCAGAGAAGGTGATGTTATGAGGTGGGGGGGGGGGGTTTCAGAGAAGGTAATGTTATTAGGTGGGGGGGGGGGAGGTCAGAGAAGGTGATGTTATGAGGTGGGGGGGTTCAGAGAAGGTGATGTTATGAGGTGGGGGGGGGGGGGTTCAGAGAAGGTAATGTTATGAGGTGGGGGGGGGAGGTTCAGAGAAGGTGATGTTATGAGGTGGGGGGGGGGGGGGGTTTAGAGAAGGTGATGTTATGAGGTGGGGGGGGGGTTCAGAGAGGGTTCAGAGAAGGTGATGTTATGAGGTGGGGGGGGGTTCAGAGAAGGTGATGTTATGAGGTGGGGGGGGGGGGTTCAGAGAAGGTGATGTTATGAGTGGGGGGGGGGTTCAGGGAAGGTGATGTTATGAGGTGGGGGGGGGGGGGGTTCAGAGAAGGTGATGTTATGAGGTGGGGGGGGGGTTCAGAGAAGGTGATGTTATGAGGTGGGGGGGGGGGTCAGAGAAGGTGATGTTATGAGGTGGGGGGGGGGTTCAGAGAAGGTGATGTTATGAGGTGGGGGGGGGTTCAGAGAAGGTGATGTTATGAGGTGGGGGGGGGGGTCAGAGAAGGTGATGTTATGAGGTGGGGGGTTCAGAGAAGGTGATGTTATGAGGTGGGGGGGGGGGGTTCAGAGAAGGTGATGTTATGTGGGGAACTGTGGCTGGACAAGACATGCTGTAAACAACAACTGAATCCAATAAACTACTGACATAGAAAACTAAAAACAACATTTCATTAAAAAAACTGAATCCAACAAAAATGCTGACATAGAAAACTAAAAGTGCCGAGATTGTACAAGCCACATTTACAACAATACATTTCTAACCTGGTAAGATTCACTCTCACTGGAATCAATCTAGAACAGGTAGACAGAGTCCGTGTTACAAGATATTATCAAAACTCAGTACTTACAAGATATCAATACTAAGTACTTACAAGATATCAATACTCAGTTCTCAGTTTTCCCCCCAAAATATTGTTAAAACAATTATACCGTATGTAATATATTTGTATACAATATTTTTTCTGTATTGTGAGTATTACAAGCATATATAACTATTATATGTCATGTAAGTATTACATGTTTTATAATATATCTATCTATCTATATCTTCTATATATATTATTGGACACCACCACACACGCAAGTCAATTCTCTAACCCCCCACTCACCCTCTCTGTTGCTCTCCAGGCCATTTTCTATCACCCCACCAGTCTCACCCCCCACCCCCACCAGTCTCACCCCCACCCCCACCAGTCTCACCCCCACCCCCACCAGTCTCACCCCCCCACCCCCACCAGTCTCACCCCCACCAGTCTCACCCCCACCCCCCACCCCCACCAGTCTCACCCCCCACCCCCACCCCCCACCAGTCTCACCCCCACCCCCACCAGTCTCACCCCCACCCCCACCAGTCTCACCCCCACCCCCACCAGTCTCACCCCCACCCCCACCCCCACCAGTCTAACCCCCACCCCCACCAGTCTCACCCCCACCCCCACCCCCACCAGTCTCACCCCCCACCCCCACCAGTCTCACCCCCACCCCCACCAGTCTCACCCCCACCCCCACCAGTCTCACCCCCACCCCCCACCCGTCTCACCCCCACCCCCACCAGTCTCACCCCCACCCCCACCAGTCTCACCCCCACCCCACCAGTCTCACCCCCACCCCCACCAGTCTCACCCCCACCCCCACCCGTCTCACCCCCCACCCCCCTCACCCCCACCAGTCTCACCCCCACCCCCACCAGTCTCACCCCCACCCCCACCAGTCTCACCCCCACCCCCACCAGTCTCACCCCCACCCCCACCAGTCTCACCCCCACCCCCACCAGTCTCACCCCCACCCCCACCAGTCTCACCCCCACCCCCACCCCCACCAGTCTCACCCCCACCAGTCTCACCCCCACCCCCACCAGTCTCACCCCCACCCCCACCCCCACCAGTCTCACCCCCACCCCCACCAGTCTCACCTCCACCCCCACCAGTCTCACCCCCACCCCCACTAGTCTCACCCCCACCCCCACCCCCACCAGTCTCACCCCCACCCCCACCAGTCTGCTGAGTTGTGGTTCACACCCAATGTTTACAATCCTAGAGCAGGTTCAAATTAGTGTTAATTTGCTTTTTAAACAATTTGAAACTAAGGGGAGGTAACAAGTTCTGCTAGATCTTTTAATTGTCATTCGTCTGTTAAGTCATCATGGACAGCTGTTTTCATGGGGGGTGGGGGGAAAGGAAAGTATGCAGTGGCTCCCTCTGGTCAGTTGTGTATTTTTAGACATTTGATCTAGTTTTTAAATGTAACAATGTGGGTTTGTCCACTCTCAACTAGACACCCGAGGTTGTGGGTTTGTCCACTCTCAACTAGACACCCCAGGGTGTGGGTTTGTCCACTCTCAACTAGACACCCCAGGGTGTGGGTTTGTCCTCTAATAATATTGTAAATGCTTTATAACTTTATCATTTGATTCCATTTTGTCTCCTTTACCAAGCTATGGTGTTTCTACATTGCATGCTCATAAAGGTCTTGGTGTCATGCTAGTTCTAGCAACTTGTGATGCTAGTTCTAGCATCTTGTGATGCTAGTTCTAGCAACTTGTGATGCTAGTTCTAGCAACTTGTATAATATAATATAACTCATACTATATTAGTCTGATAAAAATATAACTCATACTATATTAGTCTGATAAAAATATAATTCATACTATATTAGTCTGATAAAAATGTGTTTTTCTTGCCTTGAGAGTAGACTGGGTGAACGATGTTTGTACTAAGACCCATTACGTCTAACAAAATAGTTTGTACTAAGACCCATTACGTCTAACCAAATAGTTTGTACTAAGACCCATTACGTCTAACCAAATAGTTTGTACTAAGGCCCATTATGTCTAACAAAATAGTTTGTACTAAGACCCATTACGTCTCACCAAATAGTTTGTACTAAGACCCATTACGTCTAACCAAATAGTTTGTACTAAGACCCATTACGTCTAACCAAATAGTTTGTACTAAGACCCATTACGTCTAACCAAATAGTTTGCCTAGGACAGACATTTTGAATTGGGTGGATTCCACCCAGGATGTAAGGTGAAGGTCAAACTAAACTGATAGAAAATTGCCGGAGCACACTGAAATTATTCTACATGATGAGCCATATGAGATGACAAACAAATAATAGAATGGATCATAAAAAATGTGGCAAGTACATTCAAGTGTTAAGTCACTACTGTGTTATGTTTAGACTGCTATGTTACAAAGGATAAGATCGTTATAGGCCTAATAGTTAATATAGAAGCTAAAACATCAGACCTTGATAAAAAAAATTTTTTAATAGTCTCTGGTGTATAAATGAGCTCAAAACATTGTTTACTGTAAGTACGCAGCTAGGGTGTATAAATATGTTTAAAACATTGTTTACTGTAAGTATGTATCCAGGGTGTATAAATGAGCTCAAAACATTGTTTACTGTAAGCACACAGCTAGGGTGTATAAATGTGTTTAAAACATTGTTTACTGTAAGTATGCACAGTGGCTAAAGTGTCTTATTCTCTAAATATAACAAAATCCCAAGGACTTTATTGTGACTTGTTCTCTCAATATTTTAAAACAAAATCCCATGAACTTTATTGTGACTTGTTCTCTCAATATTTTAAAACAAAATCCCATGAACTTTATTGTGACTTGTTCTCTCAATATTTTAAAACAAAATCCCATGAACTTTATTGTGACTTGTTCTCTCAATATTTTAAAACAAAATCCCATGAACTTTATTGTGACTTGTTCTCTCAATATTTTAAAACAAAATCCCATGAACTTTATTGTGACTTGTTCTCTCAATATTTTAAAACAAAATCCCATGAACTTTATTGTGACTTGTTCTCTCAATATTTTAAAACAAAATCCCATGAACTTTATTGTGACTTGTTCTCTCAATATTTTAAAACAAAATCCCATGAACTTTATTGTGACTTGTTCTCTCAATATTTTAAAACAAAATCCCATGAACTTTATTGTGACTTGTTCTCTCAATATTTTAAAACAAAATCCCATGAACTTTATTGTGACTTGTTCTCTCAATATTTTAAAACAAAATCCCATGAACTTTATTGTGAGAATGTGCCTTTACATAATAAATCCATGTGTGAGTGTGTGTGAGAATATTGTTCCATGTGTGAGTGTGTGTATGGTTGTGTGAGAGAGAGAGAGTTGAAGTGAGAGTGTGTTGTTCCATGTGTGAGTGTGTGTGTATATGGTTGTGTGTGAGAGAGAGAGTTGAAGTGAGAGTGTGTGTTGTTCCATACCTCTGTCAGCCTCCCCACAGGGTACAGTTTATCAACACACTCCAAGGTCTGCTCTGCTAATGGAATTAGTTCACTCTCTGCTGAACTATGACACTTGGCAGCGACCTTGACACTAAATTTTAAAAATATATCTTCATCAAATGTGACCATGACACTAAATAAAAAATCTATGTGTGTTACATTAAGCACAAGTTAATTAAAAAAAAAAAAGTTAATAAAAGGTTTATACATGGATATTAAAGTTACCTTATTACTACTAAATTGTTAACCGATTCCAAGGTTTCTTCATTACTGCTAGATTTATTCAGTGATTTTTGGTAGGTCCATATCAAAATCTATTTATCTAAAATATATACAGCTTAGTAGTGTCTGTCAGTTAAATATATAAAAAGGCCTGTTTATACTGTCAGGTCAATCATTGTGAATATTAACCTACAATAGAATAGTATAGATTCAACCTAAATGTGAATATTAACCTACAATATAAAGTACAGATTCAACCTAAATGCATTTAACACAAGTTTTTAAGCACTCAATAAACTTCAGCATACTAGAATGGATGAGGTCTAAATAAACTTAACTGTGCCTGCTTTCATGCAGTTGGTCACTTATCTGTGATTTGGATTTTGTGAGGAATGTCAGGGGGTTGTGGTCCGTTAACACCAGGATTGGTTGAGCCGAACAACTGACATAAAATTCCCATTGCTGCAAAGCCAGGATTATGCCCAAACATTCTTTTTCAACCGTTGAATAATTGGCTTGGTGCTTATTAAATTTCTTGGAGAAATAACAAATCGGATGCTCCACTTGAAATAACAAATCGGATGCTCCACTTGAAATAACAAATCGGATGCTCCACTTGAAATAACAAATCGGATGCTCCACTTGAAATAACAAATCGGATGCTCCACTTGAAATAAATCGGATGCTCCACTTGAAATAACAAATCGGATGCTCCACTTGAAATAACAAATCGGATGCTCCACTTGAAATAACAAATCGGATGCTCCACTTGAAATAACAAATCGGATGCTCCACTTGAAATAACAAATCGGATGCTTCAACTGGGACAGGACAGCTCCGACACCGGAATCGCTAGCGTCCACAGCTAGTCGGAATTGACGTTTAAAATCTGGGGTTACCAAGACCGGGGAGCCAGTTAGCATGGTTTTAATCCTTACAAAGGCTTCCCCGCATTCTGGTGACCAAATAAACTTGCCGTTTTTTCTGAGAAGGTTGGTTAAGGGGGCGGCTATCACTGAAACATTTGCACAGAATTTCCTGTAATATCCTGCCATCCCAAAAAACCTCATTAGCTGCTTTTTATCATTGGGAGGTTAAATAGCCTGAATAGCCTCTATCTTAGCAGCGATCACTTGTCCTTGTCCGACGACATGACCTAGATATTCGACTGTGGCATGGCAAAATTCACTCTTGCTCAGGTTAACTGTTAACCCAGCCTCGTCCAGTTTGGTAAACAGAGCCCGTATTTGTTTCACGTGGCTCACGAAATCATTGCTGTAGACTATAATGTCATCTATGTAAGCACTTCAATTTTCTAAGTCTGTGATGAGGCTATTGATGAGGCATTGGAATGTTGCTGGATCATTTTTCATACCAAAGGGCATTACTTTGTACTGGTATAGTCCGTCCGGAGTAGCAAACACAGATATTTCCTTGGCTTGATCGATAGAGGAATCTGCCAATACCCCGACAACATGTCTATCTTGGTGACATAACGGGCATTCTTCATGCGATCTATCAAGTCATCTATCCTAGGAATTGGGAACGAATCAGCTTTAGTGACCGCATTCACTTTCCTAAAGTCGGTACAGAACCGATAACTGCCGTCGTGTTTAGGTACTAGAACACAAGGGGAACTCCAATTACTTTTGCTATGTTCAATAATATCATTTTCCAGCATATACTTCACTTCTGTTCTCATTATCTCCAACTTGATTGGGTTTACCCTATATGGATGTTCTTTAACCGGAGATGCTGACCCAATATGTACGTCATGAACAATGAGTTTGGTCTTGTTTGGAATGTCAGGAAGTAAAGTGGCGAAATCTCTAATCACCGACGTAACAGCTTCTTGTTGGTCAGTGGAAAGATGTGAAAGTTTGGCTGGTAAATTGGACAAGATCTCTGAATTTTTAAATTTATATTGTCCTGCCTTTTCTGTAGGGATCTCATCCTCAGGATCACAAACGTTTATCATAGCGACAGTCTTCACTGGGGCTGGTTGGCTTTCTTCTCTCTTAAAATTGGGGCTGGTTGGCTTTCTTCTCTCTTAAAATTGGGGCTGGTTGGCTTTCTTCTCTCTTAAATTGGGGCTGGTTGGCTTTCTTCTCTCTTAAAATATTCCTTTAACATATTGACATGGCACAATTGTCTCTTCTTCTTCATATCAGGGGTCTTTATCACGTAATTCAAGTCATCTTTCTTGTATTCGACTCCTTATGGGCCGAAATATCTGGCTTGCAGTGTCTGACCTGGTATGGGGAGAAACACCAATACCTCATCCCCCGGTGAGAACGAGTGGGCTTTCGTCTTCCTATCATACCATGTTTTCATTTTATTCTGTGATTGTTTCAAGTGAGATCGGGCCAGCCGACAGGCTTCACTTAGTTGATTTTTAAATCCAAGGACGTAATCTAGAAGACCTTCGGTTAGGGTTGAAGACATCCATATCTCCTTAAGTGATTTCAGTGGACCTCGAACCGTATGGCCGAACTCCAGTTCAAAAGGACTAAATCCCAGAGATTCCTGTACCGCCTCTCGGGAAGCAAACAGCAACATGGGAATTCCTTCGTCCCAGTCTTTTTCGTGTTCGTAACAGTAGGTGCGGATCATGTTTTTTAGTGTTTGGTGGAATTGTTCTAGGACACCCTGAGATTCTGGATGATAAGCACTGGACATACACTGTTTCACTCCCAATTGTTTCATCGCTTGTTTGAACAATCTGGCGGTAAAATTGATTTTTAATTGATTGAACAATCTGACGGTAAAATTGATTTTTAATTGATTGAACAATCTGGCGGTAAAATTGATTTTTAATTGAGTTTTCATTTTCCGGAGAGAGAACAGCTTCTGGAAATCTAGTGTGACACGTGTGGACAATTGACACGTGTGGACAATTGACACGTGTGGACAATTGACACGTGTGGACAATTGACACGTGTGGACAATTGACACGTGTGGACAATTGACACGTGTGGACAATTGACACGTGTGGACAATTGACACGTGTGGACAATTGACACGTGTGGACAATTGACACGTGTGGACAATTGACACGTGTGGACAATTGACACGTGTGGACAATTGACATGTGTGGACAATTGACATGTGTGGACAATTGACATGTGTGGACAATTGACATGTGTGGACAATTGACATGTGTGGACAATTGACATGTGTGGACAATTGACATGTGTGGACAATTGACATGTGTGGACAATTGACACGTGTGGACAATTGACACGTGTGGACAATTGACACGTGTGGACAATTGACACGTGTGGACAATTGACACGTGTGGACAATTGACATGTGTGGACAATTGACACGTGTGGCATGTTCGACAGTATTCAGCCACATCTTTTCTTAATTGTGGCCAAAAGAAATGTGACGCTATCCTCTGGTAAGTCTTTTTTGCTCCTAAATGGCCTGAAAGAGGCGTATCATGTGCCGAGGTCAAAATGTCTCTTCGGAAATTGGTCGGAATGACAATTGAATGGAGGACTCTCCACTCTTCGTCTACCGATGCCTCGGGGGGTCTCCATCTTCTCATGAGCATTCCGTCTTTCAAATAATACACACACGGGCCCGGTTCAGTCTCTTCCAACGGCTGGGCATTCTCGCACAGTTCGGATATCTCCACATCCTTGGTCTGTTCTTCAATTAAATATTCTTTTGTTGGTTTTCCCCCTTTGTCTTGTTGATACAAACTGGCGAGGAATGTATCCGCCAATTCTACCTCAGTGTCATCTCTGTTTTTGGTATATTTTTGAACTCATGGCCCTGGTACGGCGCACACTGAGTTTACCTCCAGGTCATCATCTAGCGGTGCCCTTTGGTTAGAGAACGGAGTGGAATGTAGGTTGGCGAACACTTTTATGTCGGCCAGGTCATTGCCCAACAACAGCGAGATGCCTTCAACTGGAAATTCTGATTGGACCCCGACAATCACAGGTCCACTGACGAGATCTGACTTGATATCGATGTGGTGGAGAGTCACACGATTTACCCCCTGTCCTATTCCATGGTCTCCGTAGATGCCGATAGGGTTAGGACTCCCTCCAGTATTAATGAGAGACGCACCAGTATCTCTCAGGATATGGATGGGTCGCAAATTAGTGGACTCGCCTGGTAATGATACACATCCTTCCGAAATAAAAGGACCAAATTCTTGCCAGGAGGTTTTCTGCATTCTGGCCATGGGTGCACTAGCTCCCCTCAGGTCTTTCTCACTGAGAATCTCGGTGTTCTCATCTGCAACTTCACTGACACCTTTAAAGTCCACCTCTTTTCTTGCTGAAAGCTCAGTCTCTGTTTGTATTTTCGATAACTCTGATCGACCATCTGCTGACTGCCAAAGTTTTCTGCTGGGTTTGACGGGTGTGGGCCAATAGATTCTCGTCGGATATGATGTAGCACAGGCAACAACTTTACTCTCCTTTTTGTCACTTCTTGAGTTAAGTCTCCAACAATCATTTTGTGTGTGCCCTTGCTTGCTACAATAGGTGCACACCTCTCGATTTTTACCCTCACTTCTCGAAGAGGTTTGACCTCCTGGTGACGTTTCTGTGTCACTTTCCTTTCTTCTATTGTCTAGTTTTCTGACTGATGTCATTTCGGCGAATTGAGGCGTGATGACGTAGTCATCCGCCAACACTGCCGCTTTGTGCACATCATCATCTCTTCGGTCCGCTATGTGAGTGCGGACATCTTGCCGCACACAGCTTTGGAATTCTTCCATTAATACCAGACTTTTTAGTTTTTCAAAACTGGTACCCACCTCTTTGGATGTGATCCATTTTTCTAGCAGTCGCTCTTTTTCTCCTCTGAATTCTACATGTGTTTGTTCCTCTTGTTTCTTCAAGTCCCAAAACTTTCTCAGATACGCTTCAGGCACCAATTCATACGCTTTTAAGATCAAAGATTTCATTAACTGATAGTCTCTTTGTTGTTCTTTGGTCAGCGAGGTGAACACCTCAGCGGCTATCCCGGTTAGTGCCGGTTGTATCATCATTGGCCAGCATTGTTCTGGGAAGTTATAATTGTACGCCGTAATTTCGAATTGCGTAAAATATTGGTCAATATTTTTTCTTCGAACTTGGGGATTAATTTGGCATACTTAACTGCATCGAAGTTCTGATTGTTTTCCCTTTGTCAATTGCCTTCCCTCTCTAGCCTTGCCAACTGTATTTCCTTATCGGCCTCAATTTGTTTTATTTCTTTCTCTATTTGTTTTTCTTTAAACTCTCTATCCTTCATTTCCAATTCTTTCTCTATCTTCATTCTTTCATGTTCCCTCTGTGCCTCAATTTCCATTTGTTTCAATTTTATTTGTAGCTTGGCATCTACTATCTTTCTGATACTGACAGTCCGTTTTTTCTCTGCCATTTTTCTTTTTGTCTAGGGGTCAAAACTCAAATCTTATTGTGTTCAAATCCCAGACCTAAGCCCTCACTTGTTATGCTCAGCTTCCCATTTCATAGTGGAACCAGGTATAACACAAATGAAAACACAGTTCAAATGTAATAATCAAATATAAGTTCCAACATCTACAGGGGAACACAGGTAACATTCAAACCAAAAACACTGCCTACTTGCTACGGTCAGGTTACACTCTACACACACCGCTTACACACACAGTTCACACACTTCTTTCCTCGCTTACACACACACAGCTTACACACACAGTTCACACACTTCTTTCCTCGCTTACACACACACAGCTTACACACACAGTTCACACACTTCTTTCCTCGCTTACACACCACTTACAAGGGGAGGCTACTCTCACACACACTTTATATAAACATCTACATCACAAATGGCAAGTTCTTCTGTCAAAGGAAGCTCCCTAAGCTGACATCATCTTTGTGCCCAAGGGTTAGGGTTAGCCCTAACCCTGTGCCCAAGACTCAAAGGGAACATGAAGTTTATCTGTTTCAATCACTTTGGCATTCAAAGGGATAATGTGGTCAGCCGCCTTTGTTTCCCTAACTTGAGTTAGGTACCCATCAGAGTTGGGTGGACTCAGGACGTTCTACTGATGGAATGTGGATTCGAACTTGAGACTTTTAGGTTAGCAGTTGAGCCCGCCCTACCACTAAACCACGCCATCCAATTCCCTATCCAGAATGACATGGAGATTGACAATGAATTTGTCAGTTATTGACAAACATTTGTCAGTTATTGACAAACATTTGTCAGTTATTGACAGACATTTGTCAGTTATTGACAGACATTTGTAATCACAAGAGAGCTTCTCATCTGTACTCAATGTTCTGATTATCAGAGGTTCTTAACCCTTTGAGCCCTGGCCTCCCTTGCCTAATTTCTCCCATTTCCTGAGCTCCCAGGGCCAAACCAATTTTTACTTATATGCTTTTAACTTTGCCTATAACTATGAACCGTTTGAGATAATCAAGCCAAATTTGGTATCCAGACTCAGGATCAAACAATAATGCAGCAAGATTCTGAAATTCTTTTTTTTTTTTACAATGTTTGAACAGAACAATGTATATAAAACGAACAAATAATTGTTGTTTTGATAGAACATAGAAGAAACCAATTTACAGTTAGTTATTGTTTTGCTATTATTGATACCTGGCCATACTAGTTCATCGCCAGAAGTCCACTTTTGTGTGATAACTTTCAAAATAGTTATCTCTGCCAGACCCGATGCAAAGAAAAACTTCGCATGTTTTGCACCAGTAAACATTTTTTTTGTTTGTTTCGGCAAGTCTTTGTCCTTGGCAACACGTGCATCAGAACGTACTTGAACAGTTTCATTGTCACTGTCAATTTCAATGTCACTATGTTCAGTCTCAAATTCAACATCACTATCATCACAATATAGACCAGGAATATTATCTTCTTCATCAGAATCAATAAGTAGTTGTATTGCCTGAGATACAGTCATTCTACTTCTTTTGTTGATAGTTCGGTCTTTTGCTTCATCTTTTGCACCAACTTTATGTGATGAAGTCGACGGCTGTGGCTCAGCTTTTCATTTCGGCGGCATTGCTACGAAATGTAAACACTTTCACTTTTCCTAAAAATCAATTTTTAAAATCACAATCCTGCACTCAAAAGACATATGCGCAGTTTTAGTCAGTCTTCCGCTAATAATATTTAATTAGACGGTATACCGGGCGCTAGGAATATGACGCTAGATCATCGGGCCGGAAAACCGGCTTTTCGGACATATAAGCGTAATGTTGAAACCGGTTTACCGGCCTGGCGGGCTCAAAGGGTTAAGTCATTTATCAATATTTTTAACCCTTACCTTCTGATAACTGATGAAATTGCTTCAGTAAAACTTTTTACCCTTACCTTCTGATAACTGATGAAGTTGCTTCAATAAAACTGAGAAGAACTTGAGTCTCATCCTCTGATAATGAAATAGGGTGGGGGCTGACTGGGCGATCAGTTTTCTGCTTTTCAGACCAGGACTTGAGCACGTTTTCAAATGTCTGGAAAAAATCTGTATTGGTCAGACTTTTTGTCAGCAAACTGACAGATGATCAGAGATTGATAGATTCGTTTGCTAATTTCCTAAAGACTGATAGGTGGTCACTGAGAGTGGACATTAAAGACATCAGACAGAGAAGTAGCTGTGTAGATAGAGAGAAGATTCAAGTCTAGCGATGACTCACTCGGTCCCTAATTAACATCTGGGATCTATTCTTGTGGACAATCCTGACATAGCCTGGTGGTTGGATCCAGGCTTCTCCATCAACTTGCACTGGCACACCTTCATCACCAAGAATGCTCACTTTCACCGTCCGACACTAGGAAGAAAATTCTAGAGTATTAGCATAAATACTTAATTTTTTCATTTTCATTATAAAATTAGATTCTTCAATATATCAATCTAAATTTGTCTTTCTCTCTCTTTATATACTTGTATATATATCTAAGATATAAAAAGTTGTGCCAGCTGGTGAATTCTTACTAAACATAATAAAAAAACTAGAATAACATCTAGTTTTGTTATTATAGTAATAATTATAACCGAATAATAAAATAATAGAATATAACTGATTCTTTTTTTGTTGATAATGTATTTTACGAAATGCAAACTCTTTCACTTTCAACTTTCGCCAAAATCTATTTTTAGAATCATAATCCTGCACTAAAAAGACATGCACAGTTTTATTCAGAACGCGGATAATTATATTTAATAAGACGGTATACCAGCCACTAGGACTATGACACTAGATCAGGGGTCTCCAAACTTTTCAGTCTGAGGGCCTCATTAACTATCAAATTTCAGTTCGGGGGCCAGTTTCTTCCAGGCATGCCTTTGATTTTTCTGGGCAAAGTTCCTCAGCCATCACCAACAAACGATTTTTCCTTGGACAAAAAGATCTCCGCTGGCCGGATGAGAGGACTTCGCGGGCCGTAGTTTGGAAACCCCTGCACTAGATCATCAGGCCGGCTTTTCAGACATATATGCCTGTCAGGCTCAAAGGATTAAGGTCAGTTTAGATGAGAACGATACTAAGTTTAGATGAGAACGATACTAAGTTTAGATGAGAATGATACTAAGTTTAGATGAGAATGATACTAAGTTTAGATGAGAATGATACTAAGTTTAGATGAGAATGATACTAAGTTTAGATGAGAATGATACTAAGTTTAGATGAGAATGATACTAAGTTTAGATGAGAATGATACTAAGTTTAGATGAGAATGATACTAAGTTTAGATGAGAACGATACTAAGTTTAGATGAGAATGATACTAAGTTTAGATGAGAATGATACTAAGTTTAGATGAGAATGATACTAAGTTTAGATGAGAATGATACTAAGTTTAGATGAGAATGATACTAAGTTTAGATGAGAATGATACTAAGTTTAGATGAGAATGATACTAAGTTTAGATGAGAATGATACTAAGTTTAGATGAGAAAGGATACTAAGTTTAGATGAGAATGATACTAAGTTTAGATGAGAATGATACTAAGTTTAGATGAGAATGATACTAAGTTTAGATGAGAATGATACTAAGTTTAGATGAGAATGATACTAAGTTTAGATGAGAATGATACTAAGTTTAGATGAGAATGATACTAAGTTTAGATGAGAATGATACTAAGTTTAGATGAAGATTAAGTAAGCGTTATAAACTTTAGAAATGGTCAAGAATAGTCTTGCTTAACCGTTAAGATGTTAGAGTATTAAAAAATTTGGAATGCAATAACACCAGTATTATTTGCAGTGTTATTTCATATAAATATACTAGCCGTCCCGGCCAGGCCCTGCTCTGGCTTCTGTGAAAAACCTTTCTGTTAAAGACCGTTACCTGTGTGTTTAGTAATCATCATAAACCCGGCATTGCCCACCCAAACCACAACCAACCAAAACAACAAAACGCAAACATAATGCTAACACAATTACAAATACAAACGAAAACAAAAACCTTACAACAAACCCAGCCACAATCACAAACACCAATACAAACACAAAGACAAAACAAACAAAAAAGCAAACGAAAACAAAAACCTAACAACAAACCCAACCACAACCACCAATACGAACACAAAGAAAAAAAAAAACGAAAAAACAAACGAAAACAAACCAAATCCAAATGCAAAACCAACCACAAACACAAACCCAAAGAAAAAAACACAAACGAAAAAGCAAACGAAAACAAACCAAATCAAAGCGCTGAAACCAACCACAAACACAAATACAAACACAAACCCAAAGAAAAAAACACAAACGAAAACGAAAAAAGAAAGAACAATAACGAACCAAATCAAAACGCAACCACTAACGCAAACCCAACCTAAACACAAAGAAAACAGTAACGCAAACATAAACGCAAAGTGCTCACAGTCTAGCCTGGGGCAGAATCGCCTGTTTCAGCTTAATAATCAACGACAGTACCCCAACTTATTCATAGTCTTTTGCACTCACTTAAACGAACGTAGGTGCCAAACCAAACCAAATGAACAATTATAATACTCCAAGCTTATTCGTAAAATACCTACAACATTTGCACTTGATCAATCCCCGCTAATTATGTAATTATTTTTTTCCCAACACCAAAACAAAGTAATAAAAAGTAAATACTTTTCCACTAATGCAATTTTTTTATAAAGGGAAGTAATTGTGTTTTCCTAATTTATCAAAGGGAAGTAAGTGCTAAAGGACTAAATATAAATAATTTTCAGACATAATTAGAATTTTTGTTATTTTTTAAAAATTATGTTTAATGAACATGCCGACAATTATTACTATCAGTTTGAAAAATGAAAATTATTTCCCAACACTTTCAATAGTAATTTTTTAATTCATAAATTTAGACAATGAGCACGATAATAGTCTAACACTTAAATCCATCGAAGTATGTCAACGACAAACAAACTAACTTATTTTTACATACAGAATTGAGCTTTATATATTAGATATATATATATCTATAATATAAACAGCTAGGTCAGGATCGGCAACCTGCGGCTCGCGAGCCGCATGCAGCTCTTTTTATGTCAAGATGCGGCTCTTCAGCTCCATGCACACATATATATAATTGTTTTAATTTATTTTAAAAACTCATAAAAATATTAGTCTGCAACACTCATTAATGAACGATATAATAATAATTTAAAGTTTCTAATTTCTAGTAGAGCTTGCTTAACTACTTTAATAATAGGTTTTTTGAGAAACATCTGTATGTTTTTATGTGAATAAATATTATTTCATGTTTTAAGCTATTTTTTAAAAATGTTATATATATATATATATATATATATATATATATATATATATATATATATATATATATATATATATATATATATATATATATATATACATATACCTAATCAAATATCATAAAATTGAAATACAAAATGTTAGTGGCTCTTTAAAAACTGGGAAATTTTTTAAATTGTAACTTTTGTCTCTTCAGACCCCTGAGTAGAGTGTCAGTCCATCATCTCTATGGATTTTGGAACCATCACATGTCCTGCTTTTTATTTGCATGCATCCCCATGTCTTATTGCAAGTAACAGAGTAGTGTTTGTTTATATAATGACTTAAATTTATTTTATAGTTGCCACTGTTTTTACTCTTTTGCATAACGTAAAGAAAATATTGAAACCTATTAAACTGATCAATGTCAAATATCATTTTCGTTTAGATTCCTCAAAAAAGTGGATACATTTTAATAATAATAGGGTAGAAAAAACTAATTAATTAATATGTTTTGTAATTTTGCCAAGGGAGGTAATTTAAAAATAAATTCAACTCGCGCTAATAAAAAATGTGTATGCAAAATCTCCAAGAGGGAATTATTGTTAGAATAATATAATTAGCAAAATGTGAATGCAAATTCTGCAGAAAGGTAAGAGGAAATTATTGTTGGAATATTATTATTAGCATTGATTGATAAAAGGCAATCATTTTATTTATTTTATTCACTGAATGTACTGTTTACTAATTATAATTTTTAATCAACTATTCCACACTATTATACAAGCGTCATCATGTTCATTAGGTGTGCAATGGTTTTTGTCATGAAAGTCTATTGTAAATTTTTAAAATTTAAAGTACTGAAAATAAAACGAATGATATTTTAAATGCTGCCATTTATTTATCTTATACCCTGAACGTACTACTGCTACATTTACTAATTATTATTATATCTTTCGGTTTGCGGACAAGCTGGGGGGTTTTATAGTCCTTCACTGAATCAGGCACGTCCGCCGGTGCTCGGACAGGTTACGATTTGGCGCCACGGGCTTGACTGTGAGCACTATACATTTATTTTTATGTTATGAGTGTTGTGCTTGTATTTTTATTTGTGTTTTTATTTGCGTTTGTTTTTTCTTTTGTTTTAATGTGTTGCATTTGTGTTTGCGTTTGTATTTGCATTGTGTTTCTTTGCATTGTGTTTGTGTTTTCTTTTGTGTTTGAGTTTTCTTTTGTGTTTGAGTTTTCTTTTGTGTTTGAGTTTTTTTGTGTTTGTGTTGTGTTTAGTTTTGTTCTGTTCCCAAGTTGGTACATTTAAAAAAAGATTTATCGTGGCAGAGAGCGGGTATGCAGCTAGTATGTGTATATATATATATATATATATATATATATATATATATATATATATATATATATCAGATATATCTGCTGTTCTGAAATGGCTACCTACCTGTGCTATCCTATGATGCTGTAGGTCAATGACTCTTGACATTGCCATTTGTATACCACCAAATACAGCAACAACTTCTAAAATTCTGTCGTCAAAGCTTGGGGCTGAGAAATTCTACACAGATGAAATTTTAATTTTTTTTTAGAAATTTTAAGACAATTCACAAATTTTAAGATTATTTAGAAATTTAAGACCATTTATAAATGAAACAAGTTTAGAAAAAACCGGACGGAATACAATAGAAATTTACTACCTCATCTTGCTTAGAACCACCCCAGAAGTTAGCTCCTCCACCATAGCTGAGGAAACACAATGAATACACATCAGACCATGACCATAGATATGTTGTGAGGCTTAGAGACCATGGACGCTAGGGGTAGATTAAATAGAACATAGAGGCTAGTATGAGACTAGAGAGGATATGACTAACCTTGGAATGTTTAGTATGAGACTAGAGAGGATATGACTAACCTTGGAATGTTTAGTATGAGACTAGAGAGGATATGACTAACCTTGGAATGTTTAGTATGAGACTAGAGAGGATATGACTAACCTTGGAATGTTTAGTATGAGACTAGAGAGGATATGACTAACCTTGGAATGTTTAGTATGAGACTAGAGAGGATATGACTAACCTTGGAATGTTTAGTATGAGACTAGAGAGGATATGACTAACCTTGGAATGTTTAGTATGAGACTAGAGAGGATATGACTAACCTTGGAATGTTTAGTATGAGACTAGAGAGGATATGACTAACCTTGGAATGTTTAGTATGAGACTAGAGAGGATATGACTAACCTTGGAATGTTTAGTATGAGACTAGAGAGGATATGACTAACCTTGGAATGTTTAGTATGAGACTAGAGAGGATATGACTAACCTTGGAATGTTTAGTATGAGACTAGAGAGGATATGACTAACCTTGGAATGTTTAGTATGAGACTAGAGAGGATATGACTAACCTTGGAATGTTTAGTATGAGACTAGAGAGGATATGACTAACCTTGGAATGTTTAGTATGAGACTAGAGAGGATATGACTAACCTTGGAATGTTTAGTATGAGACTAGAGAGGATATGACTAACCTTGGAATGTTTAGTATGAGACTAGAGAGGATATGACTAACCTTGGAATATTTAGTATGAGACTAGAGAGGATATGACTAACCTTGGAATGTTTAGTATGAGACTAGAGAGGATATGACTAACCTTGGAATGTTTAGTATGAGACTAGAGAGGATATGACTAACCTTGGAATGTTTAGTATGAGACTAGAGAGGATATGACTAACCTTGGAATGTTTAGTATGAGACTAGAGAGGATGTGACTAACCTTGGAATGTTTAGTATGAGACTAGAGAGGATGGGACTAACCTTGGAATGTTTAGTATGAGACTAGAGAGGATGTGACTAACCTTGGAATGTTTAGTATGAGACCAGAGAGGATGTGACTAACCTTGGAATGTTTAGTATGAGACTAGAGAGGATGTGACTAACCTTGGAATGTTTAGTATGAGACCAGAGAGGATGTGACTAACCTTGGAATGTTTAGTATGAGACCAGAGAGGATATGACTAACCTTGGAATGTTTAGTATGAGACCAGAGAGGATATGACTAACCTTGGAATGTTTAGTATGAGACTAGAGAGGATATGACTAACCTTGGAATGTTTAGTATGAGACTAGAGAGGATATGACTAACCTTGGAATGTTTAGTATGAGACTAGAGAGGATATGACTAACCTTGGAATGTTTAGTATGAGACTAGAGAAGATATGACTAACCTTGGAATGTTTAGTATGAGACTAGAGAGGATGTGACTAACCTTGGAATGTTTAGTATGAGACTAGAGAGGATATGACTAACCTTGGAATGTTTAGTATGAGACTAGAGAGGATGTGACTAACCTTGGAATGTTTAGTATGAGACTAGAGAGGATGTGACTAACCTTGGAATGTTTAGTATGAGACTAGAGAGGATGTGACTAACCTTGGAATGTTTAGTATGAGACTAGAGAGGATGGGACTAACCTTGGAATGTTTAGTATGAGACTAGAGAGGATGTGACTAACCTTGGAATGTTTAGTATGAGACCAGAGAGGATGTGACTAACCTTGGAATGTTTAGTATGAGACTAGAGAGGATGTGACTAACCTTGGAATGTTTAGTATGAGACCAGAGAGGATGTGACTAACCTTGGAATGTTTAGTATGAGACCAGAGAGGATATGACTAACCTTGGAATGTTTAGTATGAGACCAGAGAGGATATGACTAACCTTGGAATGTTTAGTATGAGACCAGAGAGGATATGACTAACCTTGGAATGTTTAGTATGAGACTAGAGAGGATATGACTAACCTTGGAATGTTTAGTATGAGACTAGAGAGGATATGACTAACCTTGGAATGTTTAGTATGAGACTAGAGAGGATGTGACTAACCTTGGAATGTTTAGTATGAGACTAGAGAGGATGTGACTAACCTTGGAATGTTTAGTATGAGACCAGAGAGGATGTGACTAACCTTGGAATGTTTAGTATGAGACCAGAGAGGATATGACTAACCTTGGAATGTTTAGTATGAGACCAGAGAGGATATGACTAACCTTGGAATGTTTAGTATGAGACTAGAGAGGATATGACTAACCTTGGAATGTTTAGTATGAGACTAGAGAGGATATGACTAACCTTGGAATGTTTAGTATGAGACTAGAGAGGATGTGACTAACCTTGGAATGTTTAGTATGAGACTAGAGAGGATGTGACTAACCTTGGAATGTTTAGTATGAGACCAGAGAGGATGTGACTAACCTTGGAATGTTTAGTATGAGACTAGAGAGGATGTGACTAACCTTGGAATGTTTAGTATGAGACGAGAGAGGATATGACTAACCTTGGAATGTTTAGTATGAGACTAGAGAGGATATGACTAACCTTGGAATGTTTAGTATGAGACTAGAGAGGATATGACTAACCTTGGAATGTTTAGTATGAGACTAGAGAGGATGTGACTAACCTTGGAATGTTTAGTATGAGACTAGAGAGGATGTGACTAACCTTGGAATGTTTAGTATGACTATGCCTTGAAGGGACGGCAAGGGAATCCTCTGACCATCACACTCCAACAAGACTCGTTGGTCCAGGTTTTTAAAAGTCTGGTTAATCATTTCTTTTCCTCCCAAAACACCGTACCACATCATGTTTTTGGTCCGACTTCTAAAGTCAATTTTAGTCAGTTAGCAACATTATGACTTAAAAGATTCAAAGATAGTTTCAGCGAAGAAAAATAAAAACTATGAGGCAGGAAACAGATCCACCTGTCATTACTTTTATGGAAATTTTCATCGGTATTTCCTAGACATAAATTTTTTTGCTTGAAAATTGAGGTCAGGGTTAATCTCTCCAGTCAATGACATCATATGAAAAAGGTAGGGAAATCCCCTTCGTTTAAAAACAATTCTCATTGGAATTTTTTTAGGTAAAAGTTCCATGAACTATGCTTTTAACAAAAGTCAACTGTATTTATTTATAGAAAAGAGTTTAGGCAAGATACAGATATTCTAAATGTAATCATTTATTATTTAAATAACTTTCTTTTTTATATTTTTTCTTTACATCACTCTGAGAATCATTTGAAGTAATATAAAGTTTGTAGTATAAAAAAATGTACATGTTTTTAACCCTAACCCTAGGTTATACAAAGAACCCTACTACAACAATTCTTTCTCAATTCATATACTTAAATACTTAAAAAATCATATACTTAAATACTTAATAAATCATATACTTAAATACTTAATAAATCGAATTCTTGAATACTTAAAAAATCGTATACTTAAATACTTAATCCTGGCACAAAGTACCTACCAAATTTTTTTATTTTAACTTCCACAAACGTTCTTAGTTTTATTAAAAAACCAAATGAGCACTGTAACCTACTTAGGTCCAGTAATGTTTTATTTTGACATTGTATAATACCTTATATGGATTGATGGTGCAACTACCGGGGTTTTTCCACTGTCTTATTAAGGGTGTCTAAGACTAAGAAATTTTCCATCGAGATCTGATTGATTGATTCGGATCAGATGACTACCCCAACCAATGGCTACATGAGTTGAGGATAACCTCCCCTGTGGCCTAAGTCTTTAACTAGATCGCACACACGCGACACAGGGCAGTCTACCTTGATCAAACGGTCCATTAAGACCAGGCCGTCCATTTTGTCCGGCAATAGATTCTGACCATTTGAACGTGAGAGAACTTAAGTCCTGAGTGTGCTATGCTTTCTTAAGTTGTTTTAGTCTTCTAGTATAATATTACTTGTCGCCAAGTGATTTCTTGAAGCTATAGCAGTGTTGTGTGACCTGTGGCTATTTTTATACAGTGTTAAAATCTGTGATAGTATTTTTTCTTACGCTTTGTAAGTTGGGTTTTGTTATTTTCTAAATTAAATATTTTATCTCGTTTAACCTAGTGTTCTGCCACAACTGTGTTCGCTTATTAAAGGTTGTATGCAGATTGGATGAGTGTTAACTTCAATAGTATCACTAGTTTTCCCTAGACATCAAAATCGAGCCCTAGTGTGTTGTTGTGTTAGTGTTCATTCATTTAGGCTGTAAGTCATTTGCATATAACCCCAAAAAAAGAATCCGGGGACGTTCACCATCTATCTGGCTGGTAGATAGGTAAACGTTACAAAGTGGGGGCTCGTCCGGGATTTAATCTGTCGTTCCAGTTGTTGGTTATATCAGTTAAACACTAAGTTTAGTTTGATTTAGTTGTTTTTCTATCCAGTAGCGCCGTGTTCTTACAACGCGCGCAAGGCTAGAGGTATCTAGGTCAAAAGTCAGACGTGTCACGATAGGAGGTCAAGTACACGGCCCAACGCTCCGTGTTAGTTTAGAGAATCTAGGCTTGTTGTGATTTTGAAGTAGTGTTATGGAATCTTTTTTAGCTAATCCCACTGTTGAGGAGGTCGAGAAGTTGAGTAGAAAAGTTTTGATTAGTGTTGTCAAGGAATTGAAATTGGATTATTCTGTTACGCAGAAGTCAGAGGTGTTGAGAGATAAAATTGTTGTTCATTTTATTAATGAAGGGGTATTTGATGAAAGTTTGTTAGCTGGTGTGTTACTCCGCGAGGAGAAACCTCTAGAGAAGGTAGAATTAGAAGCTAGAATTGCTTTAGAGAAACAGGAGTTAGAGGCTAAAATTGCTTTAGATAAGAGGAGGTTGGAATTAGAGTTTGGTCAAGTTAGTGATGTCACCTCTCTGGTAGATCCAAAAAAGTTGTCGGTGGGGCAAGTGATTGCCAAATTTGGGAAATTAGTTCCTAAGTTTGATGAAACAGATTTGGTCGTTTTCTTTAACTCATTTGAGAGTTTAGCGAAGACATGTGAATGGCCCGAAACTTCCATTACTGCTTTATTGAGCTCGGTCCTTACTGGGAAAGCTGCAAAAACATACCAGGCACTCTCTCACGACGTTCAAAATAACTATAGTTTGGTCAAGACTGCCATTTTTAAGGCCTACGAACTGACGCCCGAGGCCTATCGGATGAAATTCCGAGCACTCCGCAAGTTACCCACTCAATCATATGTGGAATTTCTCTTTGAAAAGGAGAAAATATTCTCAAGGTGGCTACACTCTGAGGAAGTTTCTGAGTTTGAGAAACTCAGGTCACTTATCCTAAGGGAAGAATTCCTAACGTCCCTGCCTGAAGACATACGACTTCACATACTGGATAACAAGATAATTGACATCCAGAAGGCTGCTGAGTCGGCTGACACATATATGTTGGTGCATAAGAAACCACCAGTGTCAGGAAACCGCCTCAACCCCGTGCTTCCCCTTTTTGGCAGCAATCCTCCTGTTGGCCAACACGTGAAGGCATCACAGTCCAGAGAGAAACCAAGATCAACTCTCTATCGTCGAGCAGTATGCCAGTTCTGCAAAAGACCTGGTCATCTTGTCAAGGACTGTTACAAACGTCGTCAATATAACAGAGAGGTGGTGCGTACTTCTGCGCACTATGCTCTATCCCCTCAAGCAGCCAGTTCAAATATGAACTCTAGAATTCCAAGGGACGCTAACCCTAAGTGTCCGCAAGAAGGTAGTCAAGTTTCCACACATTATGTGCAGTCACATTTTGACTGTTCACGCCACCATCCAGTTTCTTCCGAGTCTACCGATCTCGAGGGATCGAGAAAAGTTGACTTTTCATCTTTCATTACAGAAGCTATCATTAGCAAACCAGGTGATCCGTTGTCTCAGCGGAATATCACCGTCCTAAGAGACACAGGAGCGTCACAATCACTTCTTTTGAAAAGTTCAATGGACATTACACCTGAGACGAACACCGGAAGGATTTCCATTATCCAGGGAGTGGGGACAAAATCTACTGTCGTCCCTCTACACAAGTTTGCCCTGAAACATCATCTCGTCGAAGGTGAAGTCATTTTAGGTGTGATAGATAGTATTCCTGTCCCAGGAGTACACCTACTTCTAGGGAATGACCTTGCGGGAAGCAAAGTATACCCCTGTACGGTTTCAGACCCTTTGTCAACAGTTCCAGATAATGATAATGAACTGTATCCTGCATGTGCGGTGACAAGAAGCCAGACCAAACAATTGGCTGACACAACGTCTGAACCACACCTACCATCATCGTCAAGAAATTCGACTCCCAAACTGGAGTCTATGCTTCCAGAAAACACAAGCCTGGGCTTACCCCTGAGGATATCTCAGGAAGACATCATTAAAGCTCACCAAGTCGACGCGGAACTCAAGGCAATGGTCGAAAAATCTCTCTCATCTGACGATGGGGAATATTTCTCCGAGAACGGCCTCTTCTTTCGTCGCTCTATACCAGTGAATGCCTCACCAGCCGAACCATGGTTGGGTAAAAACCAACTGTGGGTCCCTCCACCTTATCGGCATGAAATACTGAAACTGGCACATGACCATCCAATGTCAGCGCACCCTGGAGTCACTAAATCGACGGCGAAGATCAAAGAACTGTTCTTTTGGCCCAAAATGAGAAATGATGTGTCGCGTTACTGTAAAAGTTGCACGAACTGTCAGTTGGCTGGAAAGCCAAACCAGAAAATCCCTAAGGCACCTTTGAGTCCGATTCCTGTATTAGAAGAACCCTTTTCTAAAATCGTCATGGACTGTGTAGGTCCCTTGCCTAAAACCAAGGCGGGCAACGAGTACCTACTTACCTTTATGTGTTCAAGTACCCGTTTTCCCGAGGCGTTCCCCTTACGGAACATTAAGGCAAAGACTGTAGTCAGAGCCATGACCCGGTTCTTCACTACCTTTGGATTACCTAGAATCGTGCAAACAGATCAAGGCAGCAACTTCACCGGTCACCATTTTCAAGAAGCGCTAGCCAAGCTAGGCGTTACCCACATCACCAGCTCAGCCTACCACCCTCAGTCTCAAGGCGTACTTGAGAGGTTCCACCAAACCCTCAAAACCATGCTAAGAACATTCGCTAAAAGTAACACCCAATGGGATGAGACTGTTCCTTGGATTATTTTCGCCGCGAGGGACTGTGTCCAGGACTCTTTAGGCTACTCTCCTTTTCAACTGGTGTTTGGACATTCTGTCCGTGGTCCCCTGAAGCTGATACACGAACGGTGGACAGGTACCAGCGATCATCCAGTGGAAAACTTTGACGATTTTCACGTTCGACTGAAAGCCGTGTGCGAAATGGCTCACAAGAACTTAAGAAAGGCCCAAGTGAGAATGAAAGGACTGTATGATAAGAGTTCTCGTAAACGAACATTCAATCCAGGCGAGAAAGTTCTTGTGCTAGTGCCTAATCTGAACAATGCGCTATCCTTGAGATATTGTGGACCCTTTACTGTGCATTCAAAATTAAGTGATTTGAACTATGTGGTCAATACGCCCGACAGAAGAAAGAAACAGACAGTGTATCATGTTAACTCACTGAAAAAGTATTTTGATAATTGTAACAATTTTCATTCCACAGCTAAAATTACTTTACCTGTATGTTCAAATGTTTCTGATGATGTGATACATGATAAATTGAAACCCCCAAAATTGGTAAATTCTTCCTTTTTAGATAATTTGAATGTCCACCTTATGCATTTGTCCACAGAGGAAAGCCATAGATTGTCTCAGTTATTTGAGACATTTCCCTCTATTTTTGGGGATGTCCCCAAAGAAGCGAAGGTTCCACCTCATGATGTAGACGTAGGTGACGCAAAACCCATCAAACAACACCCCTATAGAGTTAACCCAGAAAAAGCTGTTTTGATAAAAGATGAAATTGATTATATGCTCAAGAATGATATCATTGAGCCCAGTTTCAGCAACTGGAGTTCCCCATGTCTCCTAGTCCCGAAAGACGGTGGATCTTTCAGGTTTGTGACCGACTTTAGGAAGGTAAATGCGCTCACCAAAGCTGATTCCTATCCTTTACCTCGAATAGAAGACGTTATTGATAAAGTTGGTCAGGCTAAGATAATTTCCAAAACCTGATTTACTTTCAGGATACTGGCAAATCCCCTTATCTGACCGTGCAAAAGAAATATCTGCTTTTGTAACCCCTAATGGTTTTTATAGATACAAACGTATGCCCTTTGGTATGCGAAATGCTGGTCAAACTTTCCAGAGGGTCATTAACTCTGTCATTGCTGACATAGACCAATGTGAGGCCTACATAGATGATATAGTTGTATTTTCCAATACTTTTGAAGAACATATTGTTCAGTTGACTAACCTTTTTAGAAAATTGTCTGAAGTGAATTTTACTGTAAACTTGCATAAAAGTGATTTCTGTAAAGGTTCAATTACCTATTTGGGTTATCAAGTGGGAACGAACCAAGTTCGGCCCATTGAAGCTAAAGTAGATGCTATTGTAAAGTTACCACCTCCCAAAAATTGTAAAGAAATCAAAAAGTTCCTTGGGATGGCTGGTTACTATAGGCGGTTCTGTCAAAACTTTTCAGCTATTGCTGAACCTCTTACTGCATTATTGAAAAAGGGTGTTGAGTTTGAATGGTCAAATAAATGTCGAGAAGCTTTTTTAACCATTAAGTCATTTTTATCTAATGCTCCTGTTATGGCTGCACCAGATTTCGGCAAGCCCTTTAAACTTGCCATTGATGCTAGCAACTTAGCCATTGGCTCAGTCCTATTTCAAGAAGATAACATGGGGATTGACCATCCCATTGCTTTTTTTTCCAGGAAGTTAAATGAGAACCAAAAGAATTACTCTACTATTGAAAAAGAAGCTTTAGCTTTGGTTTTGTCATTACAACATTTTGAAGTCTATGTCTCTTCTTCAACCAATCCCGTCAGAGTGTTTTCTGACCATGATCCCCTGAAATTTACCTCTAAGTTAGGACAGACAAATCAAAGAATATTGAGATGGTGCTTATATTTCCAAAATTTTAATCTGGAAATTTCACACATTAAGGGTAGTGATAATGTTGTGGCTGATTGTTTGTCAAGGATGTAAAATCTTATTGCACACATTGATCATGTGACATGTTTTGTGGTTCATTAAGACCATACACAGGTGTTGTGTTTGGGTGACACTCACATGAAAATGAGTGGTATGAGTTTTGAATTTTTTCAAAATTTCAATCCCGTTGAATATTTTGTTTATTTTCAGGTGAACCTTAATTAAAGGTGGTTTTTGATTATATGTAATCTTTTATAATAATATGTCTCATATGACTCAGTTGATATTGTAGCTAGTCATTGAAATAAAGGTCTTACCCTGGCGGGTTTACCACTTTTAATATCCACATGAAAATATTGTAATACCCTTTTTTGAGGGATTTTGATGTATAATTATTTTTTGGAAGGGTTACTCCCCTTTCACAAATTGTAAAAGTTTGAGTTACTTCCCTTTTATGTTCAGGGATATTTTCATCTGGTATTAAGGTTTTGATTGCCTACATTTGTAAAGCATTTTTTTTATTTCATTGCCAGATTGGTTCCTTATGTATGTTTTTGTGGAACCTATCTGTCACTTCCAAAAAGGGAGGGGATGTGACCTACTTAGGTCCAGTAATGTTTTATTTTGACATTGTATAATACCTTATATGGATTGATGGTGCAACTACCGGGGTTTTTCCACTGTCTTATTAAGGGTGTCTAAGACTAAGAAATTTTCCATCAAGATCTGATTGATTGATTCGGATCAGATGACTACCCCAACCAATGGCTACATGAGTTGAGGATAACCTCCCCTGTGGCCTAAGTCTTTAACTAGATCGCACACACGCGACACAGGGCAGTCTACCTTGATCAAACGGTCCATTAAGACCAGGCCGTCCATTTTGTCCGGCAATAGATTCTGACCATTTGAACGTGAGAGAACTTAAGTCCTGAGTGTGCTATGCTTTCTTAAGTTGTTTTAGTCTTCTAGTATAATATTACTTGTCGCCAAGTGATTTCTTGAAGCTATAGCAGTGTTGTGTGACCTGTGGCTATTTTTATACAGTGTTAAAATCTGTGATAGTATTTTTTCTTACGCTTTGTAAGTTGGGTTTTGTTATTTTCTAAATTAAATATTTTATCTCGTTTAACCTAGTGTTCTGCCACAACTGTGTTCGCTTATTAAAGGTTGTATGCAGATTGGATGAGTGTTAACTTCAATAGTATCACTAGTTTTCCCTAGACATCAAAATCGAGCCCTAGTGTGTTGTTGTGTTAGTGTTCATTCGTTTAGGCTGTAAGTCATTTGCATATAACCCCAAAAAAAGAATCCGGGGACGTTCACCATCTATCTGGCTGGTAGATAGGTAAACGTTACAAGCACAGTATGTCTGAAGGGTTATTTGTGGTCTATTTCTTGACCTCTAGAACTTTTAGCTTAATTTCCTAACCTCTAGAAACTTTAGCTTAACTGTTTCCTAACCTCTAGAAACTTTAGTTTAACTGTTTCCTGATCTCTAGAAACTTTAGCTTAACTGTTTCCTGACCTCTAGAAACTTTAGCTTAACTGTTTCCTAACCTCTAGAAACTTTAGCTTGACACAAACCTGCATTTTTCTGGGTGTTCATCTCTTTTGTTCTGAAACTCTAAGGCAATTTTCGCATCAAGTCCTATTCCAAAATAATTGTTCATCACACACCTTTCTTGGTAAGAGTCTCTACAAGAATTATATTTATTCAATAACATAGTTTTCACATAGTTTGGGTTAGGGTTAGAAATGACATAATGACTAAGTTTGGTTAGGGTTAGAAATGACAAATAGACTAAGTTTGAAATTTTTACATTTTTAAATAAGCTAATGACATGTATTGTTAGCTGGAGAAACCAAACTTAATAAGTTGTCACTAATTTAACCATAAGCATAGATTCAGATGTCAATAATTTAACCATAAGCATAGATTCAGATGTCACTAATTAACTCATAGATTAAGATGTCACTAGTGTAACCAATGATTAATATGTTAATAATAAATTACAATAACTTAACCAGTGACTTACATGTTGAGGCATGGCTAACTTAACCAGTGACTTACAAGTTGAGACTTGGCTAACTTAACCTGTGACTTACAAGTTGAGACTTGGCTAACTTAACCAGTGACCTATATGTTGAGACATGGCTAACTTAACCAGTGACTTACATGTTGAGACGTGGCTAACTTAACCAGTGACCTATATGTTGAGACATGGCTAACTTAACCAGTGACTTACAAGTTGAGACGTGGCTAACTTAACCAGTGACTTACATGTTGAGACGTGGCTAACTTAACCAGTGACCTATATGTTGAGACATGGCTAACTTAACCAGTGACTTACAAGTTGAGACATGGCTAACTTAACCAGTGTCTTACATGTTGAGACGTGGCTAACTTAACCAGTGACTTACATGTTGAGACATGGCTAACTTAACCAGTGACTTACATGTTGAGACGTGGCTAACTTAACCTGTGACTTACAAGTTGAGACTTGGCTAACTTAACCAGTGACTTACATGTTGAGACGTGGCTAACTTAACCAGTGACCTATATGTTGAGACATGGCTAACTTAACCAGTGACTTACATGTTGAGACGTGGCTAACTTAACCAGTGACCTATATGTTGAGACATGGCTAACTTAACCAGTGACTTACATGTTGAGACGTGGCTAACTTAACCAGTGACTTACATGTTGAGACGTGGCTAACTTAACCAGTGACTTACATGTTGAGACATGGCTAACTTAACCAGTGACTTACATGTTGAGACATGGCTAACTTAACCAGTGACTTACATGTTGAGACATGGCTAACTTAACCAGTGACTTACATGTTGAGACATGGCTAACTTAACCAGTGACTTACATGTTGAGACATGGCTAACTTAACCAGTGACTTACATGTTGAGACATGGCTAACTTAACCAGTGACTTACATGTTGAGATGTGGCTAACTTAACCAGTGACTTACATGTTGAGACATTTAACCAGTGACTTACATGTTGAGACATGGCTAACTTAACCAGTGACTTACATGTTGAGACATGGCTAACTTAACCAGTGACTTACATGTTGAGACATTTAACCAGTGACTTACATGTTGAGACATGGCTAACTTAACCAGTGACTTACATGTTGAGACGTGGCTAACTTAACCAGTGACCTATATGTTGAGACATGGCTAACTTAACCAGTGACTTACATGTTGAGACATGGCTAACTTAACCAGTGACTTACATGTTGAGACATTTAACCAGTGACTTACATGTTGAGACATGGCTAACTTAACCAGTGACTTACATGTTGAGACGTGGCTAACTTAACCAGTGACCTATATGTTGAGACATGGCTAACTTAACCAGTGACTTACATGTTGAGACATGGCTAACTTAACCAGTGACTTACATGTTGAGACGTGGCTAACTTAACCAGTGACTTACATGTTGAGACATGGCTAACTTAACCAGTGACTTACATGTTGAGATGTGGCTAACTTAACCAGTGACTTACATGTTGAGACATGGCTAACTTAACCAGTGACTTACAAGTTGAGACGTGGCTAACTTAACCAGTGACTTACATGTTGAGACATGGCTAACTTAACCAGTGACTTACATGTTGAGATGTGGCTAACTTAACCAGTGACTTACATGTTGAGACATGGCTAACTTAACCAGTGACTTACATGTTGAGACATGGCTAACTTAACCAGTGACTTACATGTTGAGACATGGCTAACTTAACCAGTGACTTACATGTTGAGACATTTAACCAGTGACTTACATGTTGAGACATTTTACCTGTGACTTACATGTTGAGACATGGCTAACTTAACCAGTGACCTATATGTTGAGACATGGCTAACTTAACCAGTGACTTACATGTTGAGACATGGCTAACTTAACCTGTGACTTACATGTTGAGACATGGCTAACTTAACCAGTGACTTACATGTTGAGATGTGGCTAACTTAACCAGTGACTTACATGTTGAGACATGGCTAACTTAACCAGTGACTTACATGTTGAGACATGGCTAACTTAACCAGTGACTTACAAGTTGAGACATGGCTAACTTAACCAGTGACTTACATGTTGAGATGTGGCTAACTTAACCAGTGACTTACAAGTTGAGACGTGGCTAACTTAACCAGTGACTTACAAGTTGAGACGTGGCTAACTTAACCAGTGACTTACATGTTGAGACGTGACATTCTAGTATTGATGTGGGTACCTAATAAACTTACAAAGGAATATCCTGCTCTACCAACGGTGAAGCTGCAGCACACAGAGCATCAGCATTGGCCAGTAGGACTGTACTGATGAAGCTGGCACCTGCTAGGTTTTTTGCTATAGAGCTGCTTATACCTGGACACAAGACAATTTTTTATATAGACCTGCTTATACCTGGACACAATTTTTATATAGACCTGCTTATACCTGGACACAAGACAATTTTTTATATAGACCTGCTTATACCTGGACACAATTTTTATATAGACCTGCTTATACCTGGACACAAGACAATTTTTTATATAGACCTGCTTATACCTGGACACAAGACAATTTTTTATATAGACCTGCTTATACCTGGACACAATTTTTTATATAGACCTGGTTATACCTGGACATAATTTTTTATATAGACCTGCTTATACCTGGACACAAGACAATTTTTTATATAGACCTGCTTATACCTGGACACAATTTTTTATATAGACCTGCTTATACCTGGACACAATTTTTTATATAGACCTGCTTATACCTGGACACAATTTTTTATATAGACCTGCTTATACCTGGACACAATTTTTTATATAGACCTGCTAATACCTGGACACAATTTTTTATATAGACCTGCTTATACCTGGACACAAGACAATTTTTTATATAGACCTGCTTATACCTGGACACAAGACAATTTTTTTATATAGACCTGCTTATACCTGGACACAAGATAATTTTTTATATAGACCTGCTTATACCTGGACACAATTTTTTATATAGACCTGCTTATACCTGGACACAATTTTTTATATAGACCTGCTTATACCTGGACACTTTTTTATATAGACCTGCTTATACCTGGACACAAGATAATTTTTTATATAGACCTGCTTATACCTGGACACAATTTTTATATAGACCTGCTTATACCTGGACACAAGACAATTTTTTATATAGACCTGCTTATACCTGGACACAAGACAATTTTTTATATAGACCTGCTTATACCTGGACACAATTTTTTATATAGACCTGCTTATACCTGGACACAATTTTTTATATAGACCTGCTTATACCTGGACACAATTTTTTATATAGACCTGCTTATACCTGGACACAAGACAATTTTTATATAGACCTGCTTATACCTGGACACAAGACAATTTTTTATATAGACCTGCTTATACCTGGACACAAGACAATTTTTTATATAGACCTGCTTATACCTGGACACTTTTTTATATAGACCTGCTTATACCTGGACACAAGACAATTTTTTATATAGACCTGCTTATACCTGGACACAAGACAATTTTTTATATAGACCTGCTTATACCTGGACACAAGACAATTTTTTATATAGACCTGCTTATACCTGGACACAATTTTTTATATAGACCTGCTTATACCTGGACACAATTTTTATATAGACCTGCTTATACCTGGACACAAGACAATTTTTTATATAGACCTGCTTATACCTGGACACAAGACAATTTTTTATATAGACCTGCTTATACCTGGACACAAGACAATTTTTTATATAGACCTGCTTATACCTGGACACAATTTTTTATATAGACCTGCTTATACCTGGACACAATTTTTATATAGACCTGCTTATACCTGGACACAAGACAATTTTTTATATAGACCTGCTTATACCTGGACACAAGACAATTTTTTATATAGACCTGCTTATACCTGGACACAAGACAATTTTTTATATAGACCTGCTTATACCTGGACACAAGACAATTTTTTATATAGACCTGCTTATACCTGGACACAATTTTTTATATAGACCTGCTTATACCTGGACACAATTTTTATATAGACCTGCTTATACCTGGACACAAGACAATTTTTTATATAGACCTGCTTATACCTGGACACAAGACAATTTTTTATATAGACCTGCTTATACCTGGACACAAGACAATTTTTTATATAGACCTGCTTATACCTGGACACAAGACAATTTTTTATATAGACCTGCTTATACCTGGACACAATTTTTTATATAGACCTGCTTATACCTGGACACAATTTTTATATAGACCTGCTTATACCTGGACACAATTTTTTATATAGACCTGGTTATACCTGGACACAAGACAATTTTTTATATAGACCTGCTTATACCTGGACACAATTTTTATATAGACCTGCTTATACCTGGACACAATTTTTATATAGACCTGCTTATACCTGGACACAAGACAATTTTTTATATAGACCTGCTTATACCTGGACACAATTTTTTATATAGACCTGCTTATACCTGGAAACAAGACAATTTTTATATAGACCTGCTTATACCTGGAAATAATTTTTTATATAGACCTGCTTATACCTGGACACAATTTTTTTATATAGACCTGCTTATACCTGGACACAAGACAATTTTTTATATAGACCTGCTTATACCTGGACACAATTTTTTATATAGACCTGCTTATACCTGGAAACAAGACAATTTTTATATAGACCTGCTTATACCTGGAAATAATTTTTTATATAGACCTGCTTATACCTGGACACAATTTTTTTATATAGACCTGCTTATACCTGGACACAAGACAATTTTTTATATAGACCTGCTTATACCTGGACACAAGACAATTTTTTATATAGACCTGCGTATACCTGGACACAATTTTTTATATAGACCTGCTTATACCTGGACACAAGACAATTTTTTATATAGACCTGCTTATACCTGGACACAAGACAATTTTTTTATATAGACCTGCTTATACCTGGACACTTTTTTATATAGACCTGCTTATACCTGGACACAAGATAATTTTTTATATAGACCTGCTTATACCTGGACACAATTTTTTATATAGACCTGCTTATACCTGGACACAATTTTTTATATAGACCTGCTTATACCTGGACACAATTTTTTATATAGACCTGCTTATACCTGGACACAATTTTTTATATAGACCTGCTTATACCTGGACACAAGACAATTTTTATATAGACCTGCTTATACCTGGACACAAGACAATTTTTTATATAGACCTGCTTATACCTGGACACAAGACAATTTTTTATATAGACCTGCTTATACCTGGACACTTTTTTATATAGACCTGCTTATACCTGGACACAAGACAATTTTTTATATAGACCTGCTTATACCTGGACACAAGACAATTTTTTATATAGACCTGCTTATACCTGGACACAAGACAATTTTTTATATAGACCTGCTTATACCTGGACACAAGACAATTTTTTATATAGACCTGCTTATACCTGGACACAATTTTTTATATAGACCTGCTTATACCTGGACACAATTTTTATATAGACCTGCTTATACCTGGACACAAGACAATTTTTTATATAGACCTGCTTATACCTGGACACAAGACAATTTTTTATATAGACCTGCTTATACCTGGACACAAGACAATTTTTTATATAGACCTGCTTATACCTGGACACAATTTTTTATATAGACCTGCTTATACCTGGACACAATTTTTATATAGACCTGCTTATACCTGGACACAAGACAATTTTTTATATAGACCTGCTTATACCTGGACACAAGACAATTTTTTATATAGACCTGCTTATACCTGGACACAAGACAATTTTTTATATAGACCTGCTTATACCTGGACACAAGACAATTTTTTATATAGACCTGCTTATACCTGGACACAATTTTTTATATAGACCTGCTTATACCTGGACACAATTTTTATATAGACCTGCTTATACCTGGACACAAGACAATTTTTAATATAGACCTGCTTATACCTGGACACAATTTTTTATATAGACCTGCTTATACCTGGACACAATTTTTATATAGACCTGCTTATACCTGGACACAATTTTTTATATAGACCTGCTTATACCTGGACACAATTTTTTATATAGACCTGCTTATACCTGGACACAAGACAATTTTTATATAGACCTGCTTATACCTGGACACAAGACAATTTTTTATATAGACCTGCTTATACCTGGACACAAGACAATTTTTTATATAGACCTGCTTATACCTGGACACTTTTTTATATAGACCTGCTTATACCTGGACACAAGACAATTTTTTATATAGACCTGCTTATACCTGGACACAAGACAATTTTTTATATAGACCTGCTTATACCTGGACACAAGACAATTTTTTATATAGACCTGCTTATACCTGGACACAAGACAATTTTTTATATAGACCTGCTTATACCTGGACACAATTTTTTATATAGACCTGCTTATACCTGGACACAATTTTTATATAGACCTGCTTATACCTGGACACAAGACAATTTTTTATATAGACCTGCTTATACCTGGACACAAGACAATTTTTTATATAGACCTGCTTATACCTGGACACAAGACAATTTTTTATATAGACCTGCTTATACCTGGACACAATTTTTTATATAGACCTGCTTATACCTGGACACAATTTTTATATAGACCTGCTTATACCTGGACACAAGACAATTTTTTATATAGACCTGCTTATACCTGGACACAAGACAATTTTTTATATAGACCTGCTTATACCTGGACACAAGACAATTTTTTATATAGACCTGCTTATACCTGGACACAAGACAATTTTTTATATAGACCTGCTTATACCTGGACACAATTTTTTATATAGACCTGCTTATACCTGGACACAATTTTTATATAGACCTGCTTATACCTGGACACAATTTTTTATATAGACCTGGTTATACCTGGACACAAGACAATTTTTTATATAGACCTGCTTATACCTGGACACAATTTTTATATAGACCTGCTTATACCTGGACACAATTTTTATATAGACCTGCTTATACCTGGACACAAGACAATTTTTTATATAGACCTGCTTATACCTGGACACAATTTTTTATATAGACCTGCTTATACCTGGAAACAAGACAATTTTTATATAGACCTGCTTATACCTGGAAATAATTTTTTATATAGACCTGCTTATACCTGGACACAATTTTTTTATATAGACCTGCTTATACCTGGACACAAGACAATTTTTTATATAGACCTGCTTATACCTGGACACAAGACAATTTTTTATATAGACCTGCGTATACCTGGACACAATTTTTTATATAGACCTGCTTATACCTGGACACAAG